CAACAAATGTACATATGTGCTTGACACAATGGATGTATGTATGGATTGTGATAAGAATTGTACAAGCCCCCAATAAAATGATTAAAAAAAAAAGACTTGTCTTCAAACAAGCGACCATGTAAGTGAGGTGTCCACTAAGTCTACAGGGAAGGAACACACCAGTCTGTGTGACCTGGGGAATGCAAATAAGAAAACTCAAATCTGAAGTAGGGGGTCAGATCACAGTTTGAATTGTAAACACCTGGTTTTCAGAAGGCTATGGATGACAATGAAAATCCAAAATCCATGTGCAGGGTCCACACATGGACAAAGCCTCTGACCATAGTTGAGGGTGTGAATAGCCCTGTTATCATACAGAGAGCATTGTAAAGTCAATTATGGAAGACATAGGTAGGTTAAAATGTAATATTTTATCATTAGATCTTCCTTTTGATACCTTTTAAAGTTGTTTCCATTTAAAATAAAATGAAAGGAAAATATACAAGACTAAGCCTCTGGTGAATCTCCTCTGACCATAGACTAGGGGTGTGAATAGCCTTGCTACCATATAGAAGGCAATGGAAAGTGGATTATTACAGATGAAGTTAAGTTAAAATTTAACAACTTATCATTTGGTATCCTTTTTGATCCATTTTATTTTTTCTCATTTTTAATATTTTATGCTTTCTTCTCATTGAGGTTTTTATCTGTTTTACTTGGTTATTGTCAGTTTTGTTATTGTGGTTGTATTTTTTTTTTTTTTGGTATATGAAATACAATGTAAGCAAATCTATAGAGTCAGTAACTAAATTAATGGCTTCTTGGGAGTATGACAGGAGGTTGTGGGAGGATGGCAAACTAATAAGAATGAGTACAAGCACAATGCACATGTTAGAAAATTGATGTGGTGATTATTGTACCACTCTTCTTGATGTGATTGCATTATTTAATTGTATAGTGTGTGAATTATATGTCAATAAAACTGTTGAAATGAAACATAAACTTCTTCCTAATACCCTCTTGATCGGCCTGTGTTCTTCAAGAAAATCTATCAGTTTTACATCTTTGGAATCTGTAAACCCCAACCCCAAACAAACCAATAGACAAAAAATTACTTCACTAATTTATAATAGGCATCACCATCACCATTGCTTGCTGTGGAGTCGAGTCTGAGTCAAGTATGGCAGTGTAGTATTGTGTTCAATAGGTTCATTAGTCACTGGTTTTTGGAAGTAGATTGCCAGGCCTTTCCTTGGTAGCACCTCTGGGTGGATTAAAAACACCAACAATTCTGTGATCCATCACCAGATCTTTGGGTATTTTGCTGTAAATGAAAGGGGGACTGTCATGTTGGAGAAACAAGAATGTAAACATAAATGAGGATCCTTGTAGAATGCCTTTAGCCTGGCGGAGCCTCAGTGTCTTTAGCTGTAAAGTATTTTTGAAGTTGTTGTGGGGAATAACAGAGCATGAATACCACACACAAGCCAATTCAATGAGATAATTGTTATGACTTACTTCTTGTAACTGGTGTGCCCTTGGAAAACTACTTCCCTTTCCTTGGCCTCAGTTTGCTTTTCCAATAAAACAAAGCATTTGGGATCAATGGAAGCTAAGTTTATCTTCCAAATCACGGTTCTGTTACTATGGGGCGTTCTCTCTCTCTCTCTCTCTCTCTGTGTTTTAATGGAAATAGTTCCCATTGGAGTTTACCTTGGCGTTCTCCCCCTGGTTATAGACAAACTATGGTTCCTTTTTTGACTCTCCACATCTGTAAAGCAGTGATAAATTACAGTACCTAGATCACTGAAAAGGGAAGGGTTACTTAAATTAGATAGATGTGTCCATTATCCACCAGACTCCACATTTCCCAACACATGGATTTGTGTGCATAATGCTGTGCCTACCTCACAGGGCTGGCCAGAGGGCTGTGTGAGTAAATCTCTGTAAAGCATGAAGGACAAAACCTGGCACAAAGCAAGCATTCACCAATTATAAGCGTTTCATAAACATATATATGCATAACTTTATGTATTAACACATGCATACATATATCTTTAATACTGGCATGTCTTTGTGCTCAATAAATGAGCCAGGGAGTGGAATTATAGAATTCACATTTGGCACACACACACGAGGGGAAATAAACCCAGCACAGGGCAGAGTAGAATGTACCTTTAAAAAAATGTTTTAAGGGAGTAGAAAGCCTAGTCTTTTTCCTGCCAGTGCTTGGTGTAGTCCAACTGCAGACCGTGCGTTTAGCAGGCAAATGCATAACCACCACACCACCCAGAGTCCCTGGCATCAATCCAGATTCAGGGAATCTCCAAGCAACAATGCACCGGGCCTATTCTGTGCCTTTAAAAGTCCAGGAAAGCAAAAGCTCTGGAGGTGGCGGACTGGATAAATACGGGCCAATCTCGGGGCCGGTTCGAAGAGCCAATCGGAGCGCGCTTTACAAGGGCCTGGTCCCCTTAGTGGGCGTGGCCCTGGGCCTGGGCGGGGGCGGTGCTGCTGCCTCCAGTGGGGACCGCCCCGTTGCTGCGCAGTGCAGTACCGCGCAGCTCATTGCAGAGCCTGGCTGGCTACAATGTAATTTCAGATTGGACAAGTAAGTGGCTCTCCTCCCAGTCCCACGTGTGCAAGAGGGGCTTGCAGGAGCTCAGCTCACACGTCCGGGAAGAGGTTGCTCCTGCCCGAAAGGGCCTTCCTCCCGTTTTCCAGCGGCCGCTGCCCCTCTGCCCGCACTCACAGCCTCACACCAGCCAGGCCTTGGGCTTCCGGGCGCTGTGGAGTCCCCTCTGCCAGTTCCTTGGTGAGGATTCTGGGCACCAAGGATTGGCCCTTTACTGCATCTCCAAGGTTACCCAAGAAAGGTGTGGGAGCTAGAATCAGCTCCCAGTTAATTATATCCAATCCCTCTCTTCCTCACCTTTCCTGGCCCAATTTCAGGACAGTGCGATTTTCCCCTGGCATTATTTCCGGAGCCTCTTTAGCTCATACGTGGTTAACTTAGGCATTTTAAGGCTGGTACTGTATTCAGCAGGCTTAGCAGTTCAAAACCCCCAGCTGCTCTGCGTGAGAAAGATGAGGCTTTCTACTTCCACAAAAACTTACAGTCTCGTGGGACCCACAGGGACAGGGCTCCTCTGTCCTGAAGGGTCCCCTTGAGTCGGAACGGACTCGATGGCAATTGGGACCCTGTCTGAGGCACAGTTTAGTCTAGACGTTCTCTCACTGATAAGGTAGAATTCCCTTGCTCCGAAAGGGAGATCTGCCTCTTTTATGAATTTCACTTTTCTAAGGGGCACTATCCCACGAAAACCCTTGTAATACCTTAACACCTATTTTGTTCCCAAACGAAAAGGACCAGTCAATATCAGAACATGGGCAAGTTGTTTTCTTGATGTTGGTTTTTAAAAATTTGACATCTGGAGGCAGAAAGTGACTATGCTTCTTAGTTTGTGCTATTATTTAAATGGCAAAGTTTTGCTTGCTCTCCCCAATCTTTTCCTATGATTCAACAAATGATTAATTTTTTTTTTTAAAGCTAAGCTAGTGTTCTGTTAATGAATCCCTCAGACTTGATTCCACTTGGTGACACTGCCTGGCTATGGGAAGGGCCAAAAGCAGCTGAAGACTTGGTGGGAGGCTCTGACTGTCCTTCAGGTTTGCTGGGGGTACAAACCCCACTCACTTACTGCCTTTGAACAGAAGTGATAAAACAAGCCTGGACGTGGGGCAAGGGGAGGAGGTCAGGAACCGCTCTGGCAGGATTTGGAAGTTCAGACTTGTGTTTGGGGAGAAGGGACTAACCCAGAGGTGGAGAATTGTGTCTCTGGATGAATTAAGCTTTCTGGGAGGAGATCTGAGCCTTCTTTCAGCCTGTGATAATTTTTTGCTATAGGCCTTGCCTTTTCTTGAAATCAGGTTCCTGGTCCCTGCCCTTTCTCTGGGTTCAAATCACAGTTAATTACTAGCTAGTTTTAAAACAATTTGAAATAATGATTCTTGCCTTTTAACTCTTAGCTAGTGTAGCACCCCCTAAGGGGATTTTAACTAATCGTGTTTGCCAAAAGGTACTACAGAGGTCACTTAAGCTCTGCCCCTTGCACCCTTTTATAAGGTGGGATAGAGACGCACCCAAGTGATGGGAGAGGAGGTCAACCAAAGCATTTCTTCCATTCACTCATTTGTTCCCTCATTCTATGGTACTTGCTCTGGGCCAGGACTGTACCAACACAAACCAATTATCAGCCTCCTTGTAGGGCAGAGTAAAGTCGCCCCAGAGAGTTTCCAAGACTAAGCCTTTATAGAGACAAATTACTACATTGTTCTTCCATGGAGCAGCTGGTGGGTTTAAACTGCTAGCCTTTAGATTAACAGTCAAGTGTCTTAACCTCTGTACCACTAAGCTTCATCACTGTGCTCCAAAACCCAAAACCAAACTCATCATCCAGTCGATGCGGACTCGTAGTGACCCTTTAGGACAGGGTGGAACAGGCCCTGTGGGTGACCGAGACTGTTAACTCTTTATGGGAGTAGACAACTCTCCATCTTTCTCCCAAGGAGCAGCTGCTGGTGGTTTTGAACTGCTAACCTTGTCGTTATCAGCCCAACACGTAAATACTACCCTACCAGGACTCTAGGCTTGGGAAAATAAGATGATGAGCATGACGTCTGTGTGTTTTCAAGCTAAGCTAGGTTATGAAGCTTGCTTTTGTGTGGGCAAGAGAAAGGCAAAAGGGCAAGGGCGGTCAGGAAGACAGCATGTTTGGGATGAAGTGGTCATGGCAGGTGTGGATGAGTGTGGTTGGAGCAGAACGTGGGAAGTGGGGAATCCACCAGGTTAGAGACTGGAAAGGGAGCTGGGGTCGTGTCAGGAAAGGTCTGATGAGTCTTGTAGACAGAGTTTGAAATCAGTCAGCTATGGAAATGATGTGGTCAGGTTTGTGATTTAAAAACTCAATTCTGGCTGCAGGGTAGAGCATGGCTAAGAGTGGAAACTGAAGAGGCTGTAATAACAGGTGAGTGATAGGTTAGGTCAATAATCATGGGGATGGAGAACAATGATGCAGTTAGAATGGTTGTTGTGAAATTATTGCCAGGATGTAGGGGATAAAGGAGGAATGTAGCAGATAGAGTACAATCAAGAACGAGAAAGGCATTCTTAACTGAGATTTTTAAAAAAGTTTTAAGTAAATCTTTATTGAGGTATAATTGGCATAAAGTAAATGATATACTTAAAGTGTTAAATTTGAAAAGTTCTGAAATATGTATCAGAAACGACCACAATCAAGGTAAAGAACATATCCGCTCCCCCACCCCCACCCCAAATATCTGTGGCATTTCGTAATTTCTTCCCACCCGATCCTCCTTCCCAACAACCCCACTCCCTGCCATCCTGACGATTCTGACTCAGAACAACCTGTGGGACCGAGAAGGCTGCCCCTACTAGTTTCCTAGGCTGGAAATCTTTACCGGAGGAGAAAGCTTCCTCTTTCTCCTGAGGAACGGTAGTGATTTTGAACAGTCGACCTTGAAGTCAGCAGCCCTATGGTAATCTGCTCTGCCACCAGAGCGCCTTAGTTCTAGCAGTCAGCGATCTGTTTTTTGCCACTATAGTTTAGATTTCAACCGTTGTATATCAGGATGAGTCATATATATATATATATATATATACACAAATATGTATATATATTTCTTTGTCTGTATGATTTCTTAGCATAATACTTTTGCAATTCCTCCATGTTGTATGTATCAGTAGGTTATTCCTTTTTTAACTGAGTCATAGCCGTTGTATGGGTAGACCATAATTTTTTTATCCATTTACTTGATGATGGGTATTTGAGTTACTTACCATTTTGAAGTATTCCAAATAAAGCTGCTCTGAACATTTGTGAAAAATCTTTGTATAGATACATGGTTAAATTTTTCTTGGTTACGAATAACTAGTACAAATGATGAGGATATGTTTTAACGTTTTAAGAAACAGCCAAATTGGATTCCAAAATGATACTGCCTTCTTTCCTGCAGTATATGAATGTTCCAGTTGTTGTCCAGCCTCACCAACACTTGGTGTGGTCACTCTGAAGGTGGACTCTGATGTGTGATCTCTCTGGGACCATTGTATTTTGTTGCCTGATGTCCAAACGTTTGAGAATCATTTTTTCCCTATGCTTTGTCTTACTTTTTAGTTGTTTTTTTTTTTTAAACATTTTATTAGGGGCTCATACAACTGTTATCCCAATCCATACACACATCAATTGTGTAAAGCGTATTTGTACATCATTTCTCAAAACATTTTCTCTCCATTTAAACCCCCGACATTAGGTCCTCATTTTTCCCCTCCCTCCCCGCTCCCCTCTCCCACATGAGCCCTTGATAGTTTATAAATGGGTATTTTGTCATATCTTGCCCTGTCCGACTTCTCCCTTCACCCACTTTTCGGTTGTCTGTCCCCCAGGGAGGAGGTCACACACAGTTCCATGTAATCGGTTCCCTCTTTCCTACCCATTCTCCCTTTACCCTCCCTGTTTTGCCACTCACACCACTGGTCCTATAGGGCTCATCCATCCTGGATTCCCTGTATTTTCAGTTCCTATCTGTACCAGTGTACCTCCTCTGGTCTAGCCAGTCTTGCAAGATAGAATTCGAGTCATGGTAGTGGGAGCGGGGAGGAAACCTTTAGGAACTAGAGGAAGGTTGTATTTCTCATCATTGTTACATCACACCCTGACTGGCTAATCTCCTCCCCGAGACCCCTCTGCAAGGGGATCTCCAGTGGCCTACTAATGGGCTTTGGCTCTCCACTCCGCACTGCCCCCATCAGGATGGCTAAATCTGGTTCTTGGCTCTCTACCTTGTCTGAAAATGGAGTGTCCAAGTGGAATTTCCGAAGAAAATGTGAAGAAGGGATTTTTAGAAGATGGGAATAAGGGACCCAGGGACTAGTAGTAATGGCGAGCTTCACGACTTCTGATCTAAAAGGACAAAGTGCAAGAAGTGCGTTAGGAGACAGAAGACACGTCCATTTAAGGATAATTTCAGTAAAGGAACTGGTTGGAAGGTCAGGGTAGTCTGAAACCCCGGGGCTAACAACAAGGTTGTTACATCTCTAGGTCTAACGGGGCAGAAGGGACCACTGCTGCTGTGGTGAGCTTAGCGTTGGGCTACTACCCATGGGCTTGCAGTTCAAACTTCTCAGTGGCTTCCCTGGAGAAAGATGGTGCAGGCTGCTCCTGGAAACATTGACACTCTCAGGACATGATGGAAGAGTTCCGCTCTGCCGTATAACAGGGTCCCGATGCGTTAGCATCGTCAACTCGCTGGCAGAGTAAAGGGACAGGCGGGGACAAAAGAAAAGGGACAAAAGGCAGAAATGTCATGGATCTGGATCTCTAAGGCTTTCTAACTCTGTCTTCCAGTGAGGTGTGGCTCATGGAGAATCTTAACAGAAATGTTGGGAGAGGGCTAATAGGAGGCTTCCTTCCCGAGAAGTTGCCTTGGACCAGCTGAACCGCTTGATCTAAGGTAGCATCCTCTCAAGGCACACTTCTCACAGGACTTCCTTCTTTTGGAGCAGTGGGCAGGTTTGAACGCTGACCTTGCAGTTAGCACCCTAGCACTTAACCCACTGCCCCACTAGAGATCCTTTACAGGTATCCATATAGTGATGTATATGAATGGTGGGTTTGGGTAGAGTAGGGAAGAACAGTAGAAATCATGCAGGCTAGCTGGGTTACCTGTGCCTTGACCATCTGGAATTGGGACTGAGCTGCATTGACATCTGTTGTCCACTAGATTGAGAGCTGTGTGCTGTGGAAACAGTTCAACTGGCCTTGGATGGAGAAGTAAGAAAAGACTGTTATGGGCTGCATATAGGGAGGGGGGGGGGGGAAGCTGAACAGACAAAATCTGTCAAATCAAGAATGATGTAAATAGATCAAACTCAAGTCTACATTACCAACTTCTGGGACTGTAGAATCATGTGATCAACTTTGATGGTAGACTGAGGCTTCTACCATTAAGATGTGTTGAAATTACCAAGTGACGCTGTGGAAAGATTTTGATGGGAGATAGAAATCCCACTCTGTGACCTCAGGCAAATGACCCAACTTCTGGGAACCCTAGTATCTCCTTTGGTCCGCTGAAGGGGGACACTCTTTAAAACCTCTCCAAAGCTTTTGGGGAGGTTTGCAAGGCCACTTACTAAGTTACTGATGCCGTGCCACAGGGTAAACACCAAGATGAGGAGTAGCTCAAAATGTAAGCTGGTTCAAGAAATAATTTGTATTGATGTAAAGGTACTTAATGAAACACCCAGAACAAAAACAAAGACAAACAAAAAACCCCGTAAACTCAATGCCAGCAAGTCAATTCCATCTTATGGAAACCTGACAGGATGGAGTCGAACAGCTTCCTAGGATTTTCATAGCTACTGACAGAAGCCGACTACCACATCTTTCTCCCATAATGCAGCTCGCTGGTTCACCCTACTAACCTTTCTCATGCCCACTTGCTGCAACACCACGGACCTTCATTTCAGGAAATGCTAGTCGTTTTGGAGTATTGGAATGTAAGGGATTGAAATGGGGGTTCCATTTAGACTAAATTTTAGAGAGAGAGGCTGGAACTAGAGCTGTATGAATCAAATTTGGTACCCGCCTGCCCCTTCTCCCCTGTGTTCCTGCAGCAATGTTCCGCTGCATGTCGAAATCAGGGATAGTCGGTTTTGTTGGGTCGAGTCAGTTCCAACTCCTCGTGACCCTGCGTACTATAGAAGAAACACTGTCCGGTCCTCCTGTGCCATCCTCACAGTCTTTCCTGCTTGGTCCCACAGTTACAGCCAGTGTGTCATGCCCTCTCATGGAACTTGAGCGTCCTCCTCTCTGTGGCTTACTCTCCGCCTTCCCCAGTGTGATGCCCTTGTCTAGGGACTGATCCTTTCTGATCACATGGCCAAACTACACGAGGAGTTTCACCCTCCTCCTTTCTGAGACAGATTTCAGTCGTCTGGCTGGTCAAGGTATGTTCAGTGTTCGTCCCCAGTGCCATAACGCAAAGGCGTAGTTCCTCTTTGATCTTCCTTATGGGTGTCCAGCTTTCATGTACACACGGGGCAATTGAAAATAACATGGTTTGGGTTAGGTGTATCTTAGTTTTCAAAGTATTATCTTAAGTTTTTAACATACAGCACCAAACCCTACCTATTCTGTTTTATTTTTTTTACAGACAGCCGGTGCTTAGAGGGCCCCAGGAAGGCAGTGGTGACCCTTCTGACGCCGGCAGGGTGCAGTGCAGCCACTCAGTCAACTGTATTTTCCCACATCCAGCAGAAGAGGAAGTCGGCTCTGGGACGAACTGGACGCCCCTCAGAACAGTGCCCAATTGAACTCTTCTCAGGCCTCCGCTGCATGAGGATAACGGAAACCTCCGGAAGTGAAACCTTGGATAAGGGAGTTAAGGTACAGAGCTTAGGCTTTACTGTGGGCAGTAAATGCATTAGGGATTGCTCACATGCATGAGGGGACTTCCAAAAGTCAGTGAAAAATTCCATTGTCTTTACATTCCTTTTTTTTTTTCATGAATTTTTAGAAGCGTTAGATACTTCAACCGCTTGTAGAGCCCATGAATGGGGCAAATAGTAAAGTGTTGGGTGACTGCTCGCCCAAAGTTGGTCCTTAAACCTACCCAGAGGTATGTTGGAAGAAAGGCCTGGCCATACAATGTCCAAAATTCCCAGCCTTGAAAATCCTCTGGAACACAGTTCTAGTTTGCAACACACCGGTCGTCTTGAGTGGAACTTGACTCACAACAGCTGGTTGGCTTGACTGGTTTTGGGTTATGTTTGTGGACTGGCAGAGTGTTCCTAAGTCTAATGTTTAATCTTCAAAGGAATCTTTTTTTTTTTTTGACGGGGCAACCTTTCATGTCAGACCTCAAAGTCATGGGTTCAGAAACAGAATAGGCCAAACGAGAACAGGCCAAAGACTTCAATCAGCCCCTGGCTACCTGTTGCCTCTTAGAAAAGAGCTTTGCAAGCTAATATAGAGAATGAATTTTCTCTTCTTTTTTTTTTTAAACCTTATAGGGCCCTTAGAAGTTTGGATCCACTAGATTTGGGGGAGGGAAAGGGCCGCCTTGAGCGCTACCTTAATTTGCAGGCATCTAACAGCAGTCATTAAGCTTGGTGGGTTCTTCTATTGTTTTAATTTGAGTCACTTTCTGGGAAAAGCCATGGGTTTCAGCCAGTATGCTAATGATAATGGCCTTGGTTTGAAGGTCTAGTAGTTTTAGGGAGAATCATTTCATAGTTAATAATGTCATCAAATCAACAGCAGCCTTTTGGAGAAGAACGAGACAGAGGAAAAGAAAATGCATATTTATTTAATTTACTGAGAACTCAAGAAGGCTAGGCTCTCATGGTTCACAAGGAGGAGTCCATGTCAGAGTAGGTCACTAAGTTTGCATGCAAGTTTGTTGTTGCTGTCAGGGGTTGTGTTAGACAGGGTTCTCTAGAGAGATAAAACCAAATTCCTGATAATATAATATATTTATTTATAAAGATAATTAGATATATAACGAAAAATGAACTGTTAAATCATATACAGATAAATATACAATACAAGAAATAAACAGTTAAATTAGAAAGCACTATAAATGGCTTAGTGCAACTCACGTCCGTGAGAGAAAGTTGAGAGACTAGCAGTCCTTCAAGTCTCTGTCTGATGCCAGATCTTCCTCTATTTGTAGAGAGAGCTAGGCTATGTCAGCACAGCAGCCAATCACAAGGCAGGTCACCAACCGCCAGTCCCCAGCTCCAGAGAAGTCTTAAAGGGACCTCAACTTACAGCAACACAGTCCACAGGCTAGGCATCCCACAGGCAGTGTAGCCTTTAAATTGAGGCACAGAACAAGCAAGGCAGCCGCACACTGGTCCGATGATCACAGAGCGAGAGACAAGAAAGGCAAGGCTCACCAAGCCATCCATCTCTCCGCCCCTCAGTCAATCCCACCTGCGTTTATCAGCCAGGCTGGCACAATAAACTATCTCAGGGGTTTAGCTTTGGAATTGGCATATGAGTGATTAAAATACAAGAACCCTATGCTTAGAAGCAGACTGGAGTTCTTGTGGCATAGTGGTTATGAGTTGGGCTGCTAACTGCAAGGTCAGCAGTTCAGAACCACCTGGGCTTTCTAATCCTGTAAAGAGTTACACTCTCAGAAACTCACAGGGGCACTTCTACTCTGTCCTACAGGGTCACTATGAGTCGGCAAAGGCTCGATGGCAGTCAGTTTGGTTTTTGGTTGAGTCAACCCTCCCTCTTCACACCCCTCCTCCCCATGCCTTTTGTGCCAACTGTAGCATTTTTCAGTTTCCAGAGACTTGGCATGAAAATAACCAAAAACCAAATCCAGTGCCATAAAGTAGATTCCTACTCAGAGCACCCCTCTATAGGGATCCCCAAAGTGTCAGTCTTCAGTCGCGTGTAGACAGCCTCATCTTCTTCCCAAGGAGCGACAGGTGGGTTTGAATGGCATGTAGTTCAACCATATAGCCAGCAACCCTACGCCTAACCCACAGCACCACCAGGCCTCCTTTGAAATGAGACTGGGAGACCCTAAATCCAAATATTTGCTTTTACAGAAATTAGTGTAAATTGGGTTCATGAAAGAGAGACTAACTGGTTGGTCCATTTGCCTGGATGGACTCCTACTAAGTCTTCCGTCTCCCCTCCAGGTGCCTTCCTGTGCTTCCTGTGGGTGGGACCCATGGTCAAGGGGGAGCCTGCCGCAGCGGGAGGAGGGCTTCAGCCACTAGCTTGACCATCTTTACTGGCTGCCCAGAGACTTGTTGCTGGTGCTCCCTAGAGCACTCCAGGGGCAGGGAGTCCTTAGAGTTTTTATTTTATTTTTCTCATTTTATTATGTTACAATTTCTTTCCTCCCCTCGTTATTCCCCAGCATTACACTATATTGTCTTTCTCTCAAGGTGTGAGTAAGTATGGAGTAGAATGTTGTTGGTTGGTAGTTTATCTTTTCTACATCAGGATTTATAGTGGTACGAGGTAGTATTAATCAGAGCTGGGAAAGGCTTTCTAATGGCCGAAGGTCTATAAATGTTTCACGGCATGGGTGGTTTTGAAAGTTCCTTCTGAAGTTTGACGAGGAAGAAGGGAATTTGGTTAGTCTGAGAAATGTGGTGCATAACCTAAAGCTGTTGGTGGTGGTTTGAAGCCAGGCAGCACCTCCACAGAAGATGGACCTGCCCATCTGCCTCTGTCAAGGCTGCAGCCTGGAAAGCTCTGTGGAGAGTGCTAGTCTGTAACATGGGGTCGCTGTGCTTCACAATTGATTTGATGGCGTCCGACCAGAGCAGTAACAGCAGGAGTGAGTGTGGGAGTCCCTGAGTGGTCGACATGATAACTCCCTCGGCCGCTGGGTGGAGGTCCGGATTGTGAAGGAGCTCAAAGGCACTAGGTGCTTGCCATAGGAGAGGCTTCTGCCAGAGATTCAGGCCAGACGCCGTTTAGTTTTTGTTTTTTTTTCTTTCCTCTGTTCACTGCTTAATCTGAGCTGATTTTGAAAGCGAGCTAGCAGCATTACCCCAGGAAGCCTGCAGGCGCCCTCCTCCCTCCCTTCCTCATGCTTCTGGGAAGAACATGCACTCAGGTTGGCCCTCAGAACCATCCCTCGAGAAAACTGCTAAGTAACTCAAGCTTTCTGATCAGCAAAATCATGCTTGAGTGAGTCTTGCCATTGCCTTGTGTGTGTTAAAGTCTGATTTTGTAAATGTTCACCAACCAGGATGTTCTCGTGAGTTCCCGGATCCACCATGGTTAAGCTCCGTGCACGGAGCTTTCTTTCTCTGTTGCATTTTGGTGCAACCGTACAAGGCGCTTGTATCCAGTCCTGGATCATTTTGTTTCTTCAATAAACTCTTTAATTTTACAGATGCCCCAGTCTGCTCATTGACAGAGTCTACCCAGAGGCAACTCAGAAAAGCATCCTGTCAATCTGCTTCTGAAAAACCAGCCCTTATAGCTCCACATAGCACGGTTCTACCTGATATATGTAGTCGCCATTCGTCGGACTCTACCCGACGGCAAGAGCCTCGCTCTGACTTAGACAAGCTAGACTAGGTCCTGTCTACTGGCTTCAGGGCCATCAGCAGGTGTGCGTCCTCTTGGGATTGAGGTTTCCTTGTCTGTAAATGGGAGAAGCACATGGCCTGATGGGTGTCATCCATAGGAGTTGCCATCTGCCTTCCTCCATACCAGGGACTGGCTCAGGAAAGGCCCAGAAGGCATGCACAAAGTCAAGAACTGCCGTCACAGAACAGGTGGGTGGCAAGGTGGGTGGCAAGGCGGGTGAGCGGGTTCTGTCCGGGAGGATGCCGGAGAGCTGAGGTTTAACTCGCATCCAGGCGGTATTTGTTTGCAGGCCTGGGGTTGCTATTTGGCGAGTTCTCCTCCGTGTTTCCTTTGGGAGCTAGGTTATGACTCAGGCCCACAGGGGCTGCATTTTGTGTTTCCTTGTGACCCCTGTGGCGCTTTTCCTGTGGGGCTCACTTGGGAAGGTGGCTTGGAATGCCACCAAGGGGTGGACTCCTTTTTGATGCTATGACTGCCACATGGTGAGACAGGCACGGAGTTGGGTGCCTTTTGACTTTTCTGCCTTTTGTTTCCAACCTTGAAATTAAAGAGACAACCAATCTGTCTACACCCCACACCCATTGAGTTCAGCATCCTCTCTGAACATAACTCAGACTCACTGCCTTCAAATCGATGGAGACTCATAGCAACCCTGCAGGACAGGATAGGATTCCCCTGTGGGTTTCTGAGACTTTCATGGGAGTAGAAAGCCTCATATTTCTCCTGTGGAGCAGCCGGTGGTTTTGAACTCCTCGCCTTGTGCTTAGTAGCTCAACCTATAACCCATGATGTCACCAGGGCTCCATACCTTTCTACATAATTAGATTAAATGTGGTCCCACTCCAAGCCCCTCACACTTGCTTTACAAACAAAAACTCAGTTCAGACCAGGAAGAGCCTCAGCCACCTGAAAAATACTGAGTTGGCTGGTGGTTAGCATGGTAACGACATCCATTGAAGGGCACTGACATGGCTACCTCTTCTGTATGTGGGGAGAAAGTGGAAGATGGAGTAAGATGCTTGACTCCCTTAAGGATGGCCAGGGTTCTGGTGGCAACATAAAGCCACCCTTTTATTGTCACACATCGTTTGTTCAGTTTTGCTTAAAGTATTTGAACCAGGAGTACTTTCTGATGAATGAAACAGCGGTTTTTGCTGGCACAGAAGAATCCTCACAAGAACAATAAGTTCTTGAGAGGGGTCGCTCAAGTACAATGCAGAAGACAGACAAGTGCCCTTCAGATGTCCACCATCCGAGTAATCCCTGAAACTGTGAATATGTTATTTTGAGTCCCACAATGGGCTCACAGT